ACTTTTGCTCAAAGATAGTGCCTCTTAAAGGGTTCACTGAATGAAATTTTTAATAGCCTCTCAAAGAGCAGGGTGAACTAAAAATCATGGGTCAGCTACTGAGACAATCAGAAACTCAAGCAAGGATTTTTTGATGCTCTCATTGACAACCTTAATGCTCTCAGTAAATGTGATATGATCTCAAACAGCAGGCAATGTTCCTGAAAGAGAAGAAAGATAACTTGAATGAAGGACAACTAATTGTGACTGGAGACTTCCCTCAAATCTATATATTTCTTGTACAAGACACAGCTCAGGAATTTCACTGAACAAAAGACCAAGCCATAATGCATCCTTTTGTTTGTTATTACCATTGTACAGACATTCAATAAATCAAATGTTTGAGCTTTACTGTCATTTTAAATTGTCAAACCTATGACACCAATGCTATCCATTTATTTGTAAAGAGGCTCCTTGCATATCTGAAAACAAATACTGAGGTGAAACATTTGTTTTACTTCTTGGACAATGCTGTTTCACATTATAAAAACTAAAAAATTTCATCATAATCAAGTTTTTGCATCCTGCTGGACCAGCATGACATTTTTTATTCTCAAGCATTCAGACATGTAGGTTGTTGAATGAGACCAAACCCTCCTGTTTGTGTCCCCCATCTTAGCACAGGAAGAACATACAAATTGCCAGAGCAAGAAATGCAGAAAGTAGCAACAGTGGTCAAAAAGGGGCAATATAGATAGTGAAAATATTATAAGTTTTGCCATTTGATTAAGCTTCCATACTTACATCAGCCTTTCCACTATGTGTATGAATCCAGAACCATTTATGAATCATAATCATTTACATCACATGTCAATGTTATTACATTATTAAAAAATATTCCAAACTTTATCACCCTTTCCTTTCCAGTTATCCCTAAATTTAGCACCCATGAAGTACAATAACACAATGAAATGAGTAAATACCTCCTGATCCCAATAAGACTCCGGGTTTATTTTTTTAGGTACAAACTTAGGTGTGAACTTCAGTATATAACCTTGATTTTGATCATCTATGTTGGGGCTTACAGCCCAGTGAGGTCAAAGAACAACAATTATGTTTGACATAAATTTGAAATTGAGCACAAAGACAGCTTTCCAGAAAAACTTTACTTTTGTCTATTGCATTAAAAATATAAAAAGTTATTGGTATTTTAATGTCAATGATCTTGTCTGGGAGCCATTTCTCATAAAAAAAAACATTTGACATCGAGATGAGAAACTTGGTGAAACCTTATATCTCTTCAGCACCAACTTCCACGAACTATCAGTTTCTGGGTGATTGACCTGACCCAACTATTACTGTTATACATAGAAACTGGTGAGAAATGTGAAAATCATATTGAAATTGAAAAATGTAAAATAAGAGAAATAAAAAATATCTCAGTAAAAGTGATAAGGCAATTTAAACACAAGAAGCATATGAAAGAACTAAAAAAACTAAAAGTTCACCATAAAATTTATATGTTTTACAGTTGCTTTATCAGAATAAACTTCTTATTTCACTAATTCTGGTTTGGTTTCTCTAACTGTGGAATCTTTGACAATAAATAAAAGCATCATTTAGTCATTTTTATTTATTTTCTGCCCTCCAACCACATATTATAGCTATCCAATCCACCATACAAGTTTACACTGGTAGTTATATAGTGTCAATTATTAGAAAGCAAACAAAAAATTCCAGTAACAATGAACATGTTGAAACTAAAACTAATGGTAAAATGTATTGGTAAATCTATTCTTTTGTGGTATCAACTAATACTAAACATATGTACAGAACCCAAAATATATTAATCTTTTGTACTTAAAAAAACAAGAAAACATAAGTTCTCTAGGCAGAATATTTGGTTACAACAAGATGAGCACCAAGAAATGATGCTAGCGGTTTTTAACACTTCACAAGTTGTAACTACATATAATAGCCCTCTCGCTATAGACAGGTCAAATTGTGCATGTCATGACTTTTTAGAAAGTTATAATCAAAATTTAATTAAGCTACTTTATTATCATGGTCTGTGAATATCCTTGGCATCCAAACATAGGTAATAAATCAAATCTTAATATTATATCAGTTTTAAGTTCTTAATTTCATAAGGAAATATTTTTTAAAATCCTCAATCTCATCCTAGGGTGAGAACTGTAACACTTGCTCTCTAGGCATCCCCTCTTTTCTAATTTATTTACCACTCCTCCCAAAAGTATGGAATTTAATGTAAATTACTCATTATAATACATTTATTACTCAGGAAAAGCAAAATTTTTATAACCTTCAATATTAGTTGTTTAAAGAGCCATAAATTAGAAATTCAAACCCCTCTTGCCACACCCACCTGTCACATCCTATCTTTCACAAATTACCAATAGTTCTCTCTGATGCTTGATACTATATTATTTATAACCAACAGAAGCCCAAGGTTTTAATCTATCGAATGACATATAATATTATGATGATTTCTGTACATAGAATTGTCTATTTCATTTCCAGTTCAAAATATATTCCCACAGGAAACACATTGATGAGCTTAGCTGAAATTTTAATGGCTCTTATAGTATAGTTAGAAAGCCAGAAAAAGTATAGTCATAGGATACTGTCTGCTTTTTATGTGTTATTATTCTATGTTCTTACAGATTTAATTTATTTAATTAAAGAAAAAATTATTTAGTTTAGTAGTACCATTAGCTTAAAAAAGTAGGGTTAAGTTTCATTGAGAGTTGACAGCAAAAAACGAACACCCAGGTAAGTATTATATTTCTTGTTTTTCACGTGTATCCTTTATTTATTATTATAAGAGTAACTAAGATTTAAAAATTAGAGATTTATTAGGTTAGATAAGGTTTGATTAGGTAAGATAAAGACAAAATAATAATAATAAACATTCTTCCTGAGGTATGCTTGTGAGCGGCTCATGTGTTACGTAATTTGATAGGGTATCGTGAACTAAACGTTAGCCTAGTGATTTACAACTTACGTGATGGGATTATTAGTTAGACAGGGTTAAAAGGGCAATAAATAATGTTACTAGCTATAAGCTATTTAGGATAAACAAATCTTGTTTCCTGTTACAATTTGAAGTCAATCTAGAAAGAAAAAAAAAGGGTAATTTAGGTTTATTTTATATTTTTTATGGAGATTACGAGGTCAATCAAATGGAAGAACCCTGTATAGAGTTAGGGTAGGTAAAATAACTGATAAAATATAAAATTTTATTGAAAAAAAATGTTTTTTCAAAAGTTTATATAGGAAGTTTTACAGATTACACAAATGAAGTTTGACAATTCTCAGATGAAGAAATGTATTTTTAATTTTAAACTGAATATCACTTTGTACTAGGAGCAGTGAACACTTTGACTCCATATATTCACAAAGAGAGTTTTAGTAA